CTGTTTTATCTTAACACTGGAGTTATACTTAATTATTAACGACCACCGTGAGTCACAATGATTTGTATGCATCATACATTAGAATATACATTTTTAATACGTCCGTTTTTTAAGCTATGATGAAAGGTTTACTGACTGAAGCGATTATTGAGTTACAGTTGAGAGGAAATATCCAGTCGAATTAGCGTGAATTATTGTGTGTCGATGATTTGGGGTTTACATGGCTATAATGGTGTGACATCATTATTTTTTATTGCCTGATGATCGACATAATCCGCCTGAAACCCACACGTGAAATTTGAAACCAATTTGTATGTTTAATATATATATATATATATATATATATATATATATATATATATATATATATGTATTTAATTGATTGATGTGATTTTGTGACCCTGGGTTTCATGCCATTTGCGATCATCAGACAAACTGACTAATTTTAAAATTTTGGATTTATATATGGTTGCGTATATTGTTTTTTTATGGAAGTGGGAGGAAAAATTGTCGTCTGAACGCCACACATACTTACGCAAACATACATACACGCCCGTACACTCATTGATGTACGCAGACAAACACACACGCAGGCTCACCCACCGGAGCTCACACAAACATAAACATCTATGAACAGTGTGTGACTTGGGATACATACATATATATGTGTCGTTGTGCACATGCGTACGCATTTGGTTGCTGTGTTCAATGTTGGATTGTGTAGCGAATTTTTTTTGATTGTTGCGCTGTCAACGCGCAAACTCGCAGACCATTTTTCCATTCTGTTTGCTGAATAATGTTTTCTCGCACGCACGTATATACGTATGATGGGGTCTGTGTAAAACTATGATAGGTAAAAATTGCTATTATTTTTAATTTTTTAAGGCTGTTTTATTATTATTTTAAAGCCGGTTATTTGCTTGTTTTTGGCGATTGCGTATATGGAAATGGTAGAAATTTCGATTTGGTATACTTATTAGTATTTATACGGTGGTATTAATTTTGTTGGGGGAGAGAGAAGTAATTATAATTGTGGGCTGATACTTTAATGGTAATTGTGGACTAATATGGCAATAGTAATTGTGATGCGGTAGTAATGGTGATGGGGGCGGGTGATGATAATAACAATAATTGCAATTATTATGAAGGTAATTTGAACTAGAAAATTATTGATGGTGTTATGGTGTCAGTAGTTTCTCTTTTCATGTTTATAGGGTTAATGGTCGTTTATGTGGTGGCGTTTGTTGATTTTTTTATCCGTTTGGTATAAATTCTGATAATAGGTATTTATTTCCATCCTACATTTGGAAATTATTTCTGATCTTATGTTTAAATTCTTTTGCAGGGTATGTGAAATTATTGCTACCTTTTCGTGTAGGCAAATTAGGCATTTTTTGTAATGTTGTTGTAAGCAGGTGCTTTTTTCAATATTTATTTTTATTTCAATATATTATATAAAGCCAAGGTAAGTGCAAAGAACAGCACAATGTACTACATCGGTGCCACTGAGGGACCCTTCAAGAAGAGAAAAAAACAACCACAACTTTTCGTTCTCCAACAGAAAAGACTCAAACAGCACTACACTATCCACATACATATGGCAGCTTAAAGACAGAAATATTACACCAAGAATAAGTTAAAAAATATTGAAATTAAACTTAAAAATATGATATCTGTTATAGTCTAAATCATGTTGAATTCATAGACAAAGAGCATCATTGGAAAATTCGGAAACTTAAAGAATCAGCACATATGCTTGAACACAAAAATCTCCTAGGCCGACCAAGCATAGAAATGAATACAATATGGGAACCAGTAATAAGGAGTGTCAGAGAAAAGCAACGAAAATTGCAATGAGCTCTGGTAAAAAAAACATGCAATGATAACAGCAAAAATTTCAATATGTGCACTGGTAAAAAAAAAGGTTTCTGAAGACATTAGATTTATAATACCCAGAGGTTCATACACTGATCTCCTAAGGGACACATGGCGCAGTGGATAATGGCGTTAGTTAAATCCACTGACAGGACCCAAAGAGTGTGGGTTCAATAGGCGGTGGAGAACCTGGAGAGGGGAATTAACAGAAGATAACTGATAACTGACATCTATTAGACATGGCACGTGGAACTAGAACAGTCTATCCCAGTGAGCGAAATAAAAGGTTCAGTTCGACATTCCAACCACCAACTGAAACGTTGTAATAAATATGGCGACAAAGATAAGGACAATAGTCCGACTAATGTAAATAGTATATATATATATATATATATATATATATATATATATATATATATATATCAGCAGTGAAACATGTTTGCTTGCAGGCCATGAATGCTGCACAAAAGTGGAAGATAAGGTGTTAATTAATATTTTCACTAATTAGCAATCTTAAATGATATCATTGAAATCAATTCATCGACAAGTACGCACAGTAATATAGAAATCTGTCGTCATAGGTGTTGGTATACACCTGAAGATTTATTTGAAAATAAAATCTCACCGGGCTCCGCTTTTCACTCACCTGCAAGAAAGAAAGAAAGAAAGATATTAGATTATTTGCTTTCTGAAATTGTGAAGGTATTTTTCTCGCTATTATACATCGATTATTTACGACCAGTTGTCGCTGTGTGCGATTCCAGTCTCCTGTATTTTTACTAAATTACGAAATGGACGTGGGGAAAAAATGGCTTCAAGAAAAAGTCGTCAAAATACAGCGAGATTTTAGTTTGAGCCAAGACGGTGAAGCTTGCATTTGCACAAATGATTACGGTTGCAACTCTACCCCACCACCAGGTTGATGGCTAACAGATGGCTTATATAGCCTTGGTTGGCCACCAGGCTAGAAGAAGAACAATACTGGATCTAAAACAAAAATGTTTAGAAATAGAATTAGCAACTCTATCACTTAGGAGAAAAAAAACAAAAAACTACTGACCCCCCCGCCAAAAAAACAAACAAAAAAACAAAACAAACGAAAAACAAGAAGCTGTTAGCCTACAATATTAAATAGATTTTAAATCTGCGTGGCCGAGCGGTAAAACCCGTCGGATGAAGGAATGCTTTTTCCCTACAACTGGGTTCGATTCCTACCGGCAAAACCATTTGCTTTACTAATATTTATCGAGTGTTCAGGCTGATAGACGTAACACATATATTTAATAAAGAAAAATGGGGCTTCTACTTCGAATAGGAAGTGCCCACTATAATAACATTTGTTTTAATATAAATTTCGGATTTAAAATAAATCCATTAATTCTTTAGAAAGACACACACACACATACACACATACATACACACATATATATATATTTGGTTGGATAGATGTGAGTTTTGTGATCCTGGGTTTCACGCTTTAGCGATCGTCGTGAAACCCAGGATCACAAATCACATCTATCCAACCAAATATGTTAGCTCTATCTTGATATTGAGCGCTTTCTAATAAAAGTACCATGCATATAATATATAAATAATTATACATATATATATATTTATTTATATTTATATTCATTTTCACATATATATATATATATATATATATATATATATATATATATATATATATATATATATATATATATATAGTAGGTAATAAATGCGTTGGTACATAATCCAAGTGAATCCTAATAGTATAAAATATTAAAAACTGATCCACAAAAAAGCTCAATGTATTTATTATAACAAAGCATATAATATATCATTAGAAATAAAAATAGTCGATGAGTATAGACTATTTTGACTTAAATATGCTGGTTCAACCTGTCCACCATTTGAGTTGAAAAAAGCCAGCGTATTGATCTTGGTTAGAAATAGTCTATACTCATGAAGTAATTTTGGATTTCCCTGGTATGATATATATATATATATATATATATATATATATATATATTGAATTTCTGTTTAAGCTTATTCAGGAAGTCGTCAGGCGGTCGTCAGCTGTAGTGCTTAAAGGGGAACCTTTATTCCCCAAGTATGCCCGAGGGAGAAAAAAATACTTTCTATTAGAAGTCTCTACTATTTAGTGAGTTTAGGGGCTCGGTTCTGTTGAGGACTTATATTTTTGGCTTATAAAACATTAGGCTCCTTGACCGTGGCCGCATTTTCCCGTGGGTATAGAGCACTTTTTGCCACACTGGTAAATTATTTCTGTTATTTTATTTTGGGCAGAGGGGATTGTGGGTGGTACAATTGTTTGTTTACGGATCTGTTTGCTCTTGGCTGGATTGGTGTTTTCCTAGTTCTATGTGAGCTAGGAGGGTGTGTGAGCATGATGTGAACGCATCGGTGATATTTCTTACCATCTCTGGTTTGCCTGCAAGGGATTAAAAGTTTCCCACTACAGCTTGCGTAAAGGCATGATACTAACAGTCGCGGTCGGTTACTGTGCGACAGAAATTTAATTCGTAATTTAGAAAAAAAAAAGCTCTGTCATGGAGCACTTTTTCTTTCCCGTACGTCACCAGAGGAGACTCGTCTTAAGAGATCCTCGTTTTCTATTAATATAACGATGACTGACTCTCCCGCCCATGTCGACGTCTGAAGATCGGTCAGTTTATATGCTTGTGTCGTATGTAACATTTCAGTCTCGCTAGTGACTTGCATACAAGTCTACATACTGTGCAACAGCGTGGATCTCGGCACATATCAACAGGAATATTTGCTGACGCTTTTCGCCGTTGTCTTTCGTCTCTCAGCCGATCAATACGACTGATTTCGAAATTTCAGATACAACTCTATCACAAATCTCTCCAGTTATTTATATCCAGGGCAACTCGCTCGAAGTCAGTATGAGGCACATTGAGAGCTGGGAGGTTATTCTTTAGCTTGTCTTTATAACTGAGCCATGTCCGATCACCACTCCTTTCTCCACTGTGAAGCTGGCTATACATGAGGTCCTTAGGTATTCTGTCATCACTCATTCTTGCAACATGAGTAACCCAGCAACGTTGTGATTTCATCAGGAAAGTCTCAATATATATATATATATATTTATGTATGTGTGTGTGTGTGTGTGTGTGTGTATGTATTCCGTATATTTTTGCACCATATTTGCATTTAAACATGTCTAATTAAATAATTTAGACATGTGTTAATTTATTTTCAATAAAATCCTTTCGTAATCAACTATAAGCATTCTTTGTTCATTATTAATGACAGCAAGAAGGTACTGTGGTTATATTTATTCATTTTTATTTTTCCTGAGTACTTTCGATATTTTTCCAAAATCATCATCAGTGTATACAAGTCCACATATTGTGAAACTGTTAGGATCTCAGGACATATCAACAGGAATATTTGCTGAAGCTTTTCACCGTTGTCTTTCGTCTCTCAGCCGATCAATACGACAGATTTCGAAATTTCTGATACAACTGATTTTTCTATATGAGGCACATTGACAGCTAAAACTCTTCAGCTTGCCTTTATACTTGAGTCATTTCCGTCCAACATTTCTTTGTCTACTGTCAAGCTGGCTATTCACGAGAACCTTAGGTATTCTATCGTCACCTAGCATATTACGGGGTATACAAAGTCTAAATATTGTGCAACAGCGGGGATCTCGTGACATAGCCACAGGAATATTTGCTGACGCTTTTCGCCGACGTCTTTCGTCTCTTAGCAGGTTCAATATTTCTGATACCACCCTGGCACACATATCTCCAGTTGTTTCTATACAGGGTGTTGCAACCTAGGGAAGGTTACTGAATAGAATAATCACACGAAAGTTGTGAACGATAATACTTAGGACAAGAGCAACACATATAAGATTCGCCAGCGGCGCGTAGAAGTAGTAGTTAACTGCTAGAAGTGAGTCAGGTGAATTCAACAATGAATCTCCAACTGCATGATACCTACCAACCGCCCCACGCGATCAGATGTGGCACAAGACCGAATTTAATGTGGAGAACCTGAGCCCGTAGGCTCGGCCAAAAATTCCCCATAGACGCCGTATAAAACGGGGTCTGGTAGCTGTTTCCCGAGACGAGACTATGCTCTTCGAGATAGCCTTGTCTGGGGATCCTCTCTACCCGGAGGTAGAGAGTTTGACCAGCACAACTGGAGACAAATCTCCGATTGCAGACCAACATACAGTATTTACGACTGTATTTATGTGAATGGGGACATGCCCATTATCATCCGTAGGTATGCTAGAAAACATGGTAATTCGCTCGAAGCTGTCAATATGTCTCATATTATCCACAGGGCTATTATATCCTTCTTCTTTAGAAAGGATAGCATTTTTACTAAATTACATTATCGATTACGTCGTCGTAGTGGTCCACAGAGCCATTATATCTTTCTTCCTCTAAAAGCATAGAATATTCACTAATTGTCATTTTCGATAACGTTGACGTCCTCGTCGTCCACAAGGCTATTGTATACTTCTTCCTAAAAAACGATAGCATATCTTCCATAGAAAGAATAGCATTTTCACTTAATGAAATTATCGATTACGTCGGCGTAGTGGTCCACAGAGTCATTATATCCTTTTTCCTCAAAAAGAATTGCATATTCAAAGTCATTTTCGATAAGGTCGTCGTTGTCGTCCATAGAGCCATATCCTTCGTCCTCAGAAAGAATAGCATTTTCAGTAAATGATATTATCGATTACGTCGTCGTTGTTGTCCACAGAGCCATGATATCCTTTTTCCTCAAAAAAGATAGCATATTCACTGTCATTTTCGATAAGGTCGTCGTTGTCGTCCATAGAGACATTATATCCTTCTTCCTTAGAAAGAATAGCATTTTCAGTAAATGTTATTATCGATTACGTCGGCGGAGTGGTCCACAGAGCCATTATATCCTTCTTCCTCAAAATGAATAAGATTTTCATTAATTATTATTTTCGATGACGTCGTCGTCGTCGTCGACGTCCACAGAGCCAGCATGTCTTTCTTCCTAAAAAGCATAGCATTTTCATTAATTCTCATTTTCGACATTTTCTTCTTCACCGTCAACAATGCCATTATATTCTTCTTCCTAAAAAAAAAACAAAAAACGATGGCATTTTCACTGCCGGTGGCGATGCGTGCTCATGATGTAATATTTTGCGAATGACTTCTGCCACGATAAATGACGGATTTTTTTCCTTTTATATGCCGCTCGCGGACGTTGTGACGCTGTTCATTTGTATTTTTCACCTCGATTGAAAATAGCCACTAGCCATGAAAACGTGTGCCTCCTCATAATTTTGTTTTCCCTGCTGTGAACTTATTTTTGCCGTAAGCTCATTGCATTTTTCTGTGAATATATCCGTTAGTTGGCTCGGAATACTGATTTCATTTTGGGGTTTATGAATATAAAGTAAGCTTTAATTATTTATATTTTTATTCTTTAGTCGAGATGAAACAGATGAAAAGTTAAACAAATCATGAAATAATTCTGTTTGTTTTTTCACTTTCAGTTACGTAAGTTAGTGAGTAAATTTCGCCTGCCATTACCTCAGATAAATAACGGACCATTTTGATTGCGAGGAAAGACGGAGGGAAAAAAAAAGATATGTTTGGTTTTAGTGAGAAACAGAAAACATACACGTATATGAGAAAGGAAACAGGAAAAATGGAAGATGGAAAGAAAGAAAGAAAGAAAGAAAAGAAGTCTAAAGAAAGAAAGAAAGAAAGAAAGAAACAAAGAAAAAGAAGTCAAAAGAAAGTAAGAAATAAAGAAGTCGAAAGAAATAAAGAAAGAAAGAAAGAAAAGAAGAAAAAAGAAGTCGAAAGAAAGAAAGAAAGAAAGAAAAAAGAAGTCTAAAGAAAAAATGAAGAAAGAAAGAAAGAAAAACAAGTCAAAAGAAAGAAAGAAAGTAAAAAAGAAAGAAGTCGAAAGAAATAAAGAAAGAAAGAAAAGAAGAGAAAAGAAGTCTAAAGAAAGAAAGAAAGAAAGAAAAAAAAGAAGTCTAAAGAAATAAAAAAGAAAGAGAGAAAGAAAGAAAAGAAGGAAAAAGAAGTCTAAAGAAAGAAAAAAAGAAGTCGAAAGAAACAGAGAAAGAAAGGAAGGAAATGGGAAAGTTGAAGAATGAAAAATGAAAGAAAGCAAGAATTGAAAGAAAGGAAAAAAAGAAAGTGAAAGGAAGAAATAAAGAAAAAGTTGAAGAAGGAAAAGAGTCGAAAGAAAGAAAGAAAGAAAGAAAAACATAAGGAAAGGTGGAAGAAAGAAAGAAAACAGGAAAAAATAGAAGAAAGAAAGAAATAATGAAGTTTCACAAAAGAAGTAAAAAGAAAGGAAGAAAGGAAAGAGGGAGAAAGAAAGTAAGAAAGAAAGGAAGAAAGAAAGAAAGAAAAAGTTTAAAGAAAGAAAACAGAAATTAAAAGAAAGAAGTTGAAAAAAGAAATCGAAAGAAAGAAAAAAGGAAAAGTGGAATAAAGAAAGAAAGAGAGAAAGAAAGAAAGGAAAAGTGGAAGAAGGAAAAAAGTGGAAAGAATGAAAGATAGAAAGAAAAAAAGAAAAGTGAAATAAAATGAAAGAAAGTAAAAAGGAAAAGTGGAAGAAAGAAAACAGCAAAAAGCGAAGAAAGAAAGAAAGAAAGAAAGAAAGAAAGAAATAATGAAGTTGAACAAAAGAAGTCCAGAAAAAGAAAGAAAGAAAGAAAGAAAGAAAGAGAGAAAAAACTATTCTAAATAAAGAATGGAAGAAAGAAAAGTGGAAGAAAGAAAAGTGGAATAAAGAAAGAAAGAAAGAAAGAAAAAGAATTTTTAAAAAAAGAAAGAAAGAAAATGAAAGAAAGAAAATGAAAGAAAGAAAGAAAGATAAAAAGGTAAAGTGGAAGATTGAAAGGAAAAAGAAGTCGAAAAAAGAAAGAAAGAAAGAAAGAAAGAATGAAGAAAGAAAGAAATAAAGAATTATGATTCATCATAAATTAAGAATTGTGATTCAGAAAACTTAGATCGGAAAATTGTAATTTTCATGGCTTCTGCTCGTTAAGGCGACATTTAACCGCTTCATATTTAACCGCTTCATATTTAACCGCTTCATATTTAACCGCTTCATATTCTAAAAAGGAGAAAGAATTTATTATCCATTATAAATGCGTTTTGTGTTCATTACTCGACTTTTACAGCCCAATCGTTAGAGATGCGCATCTTGCCAGAGAGTTCCCGCTACATTTTAGAACTTAGCTTCTATTCCCGGCTTAATATGATTTGTGTGAATCCTTATGGTTCGTGGAGCGAAAACGGCATTTCAAATAGATATCCCCATTCATCATGTGCGTTTGTCGGTCCCAAGTGAAATTCACGCACTTCCGGAAAAGAAAAGAAAAGAAAAAAAAAGCAAGTATTTTACGCCTGCGCGTGGGGAGGGGAGAGTTCTGAAGGAGTGGGGAGCCATCTCTGTGAAAGTATATTTTCTTTTTTTTTCTTTCTCTAGACAAATATTTTATATGGCTTGCATCTTTTTTAAATTGTGAATTCAAACACACACACACACACACACACACACACACATATATACATATATATAGATAATCCTAAGATAATAGCAGGAGGCAAACCTACCTAGGTTTCACCTAAAGAGATCTTCAAGGTAAAGCCGGCATCACACTGACGATCCGTTTAGGTGAAACCTAGGTAGGTTTGCTTGGCTCCTGAGGATTATCTAACGTTTTGCTCTACTTAGTGTATTGGGCACTTTACAAAGTTGTCTTTTTACTCGTTTTAAGTTTTTTTTCTTTGAACTTAGGGCTTGAACAATGGACGACTGTTTTCGCCTTGGTTTATTGTTCTTTGTTCATTCTTTCTTTTATTCTCCATTTTTATCTCGGGTACCGATTTGTTCTACTGCAAGTTGAACTACCCAAGTTTTTTCCAAATGAGTACCACCATATCTATCTATCTATCTATCTATCTATCTATCTATCTATCTATCTATATCTATACCCACGTGTGTGTGTGTGTGTGTGTGTGTGTGTGTGTGTGTGTGTGTGTATATATATATATATATATATATATATATATATATATATTAAAGACATTTTTATGTTTAACATTCTTTTTATAGATACAAGTATTTAAGTAAATGCTCTGTTTATAATAAATAGTATTAAATAACATTTACGGCCTGAATGTCCGAGAAATTTTCATAGAAAATATTCGTCCTTTGACAGGATTCGAACCTGCATCCTATACGGAACCGTCATTTATACTAGTTTTTTTTTTTTATTTGGAGTCTGAACTTGAACTCTGGACGATTGTTTTCGCCTCAGTTTCATGTTCTTAGTTCTTTCTTTTTTATTCTTCATTTTCTTTGGGTACAGATTTGTTCTACTACAAGCCAAAAAAGCCAAGGTTTTTACAAGTACCACTATATATATATATATATATATATATATATATATATATTTGAATATGCGTATATATATATATATATATATTCAAACATACAGTATATATAAATTTTTTTTGAATATGCGTATATATATATATATATATATATATATATATATATTCAAACATGTATGTATATATATATATATATATATATATATATATATATATATATTCAAACATGTTTCATGAAATAATATAGACATATGTCTAATTATTTTTATAATAATGTTTTCTAGTTCTCTAATTAGCTTCTAGGAAAAAAGCGCCAAATCCACATCTTCCCATCACTTGTGGTTTAATTAAGATGACATGCATCAGTAAGTCATTATTTTTTTCCAATAGTTTCTTACAGTCTAAAAGTATTTTTCTGGTCTTAAACGACCAACAAAAGATTGATAAGCAGTGAAAAATCATTCTCAGTATTGTATTGCAAAGACAATCTTACTGCAATGGCGATCGATATGATGGTGATTTTTGAAAATTTTTGAGTTTTGTTATGATTAAATTATAAATTTATCATTTGTAGCTATGGTGTTTTTTTCCCAAACAAGCGTCTCAGTGTAAAGTTTGGTTTGGTTTGTTTTGTTTTACGGCACATCAATCTCAATGGGTCATTTAATGCCGACAACTTTTTTTCTTTTTTTTTCTTTTCTTGGTACTACTTTTGTTTTGTCAAATGTGTAGCTGGTAAGATAATATTTTTCATAAAACATACAGCTGGTAATATTATTTTTTTAAAAAAAGGTACAGCCGGTAACATTATTCTTTCAAAAAAAAAAAAAAAAAAAAAAAAAACAAAAAACAAAAAAAAAACACGTATATCTGGAAACATTATTTTTTCAAAACCGTATTATCAGAGGCCTTGTGATTGGACGCAGTTTATCGCCATACCCAGGACACGGATGTAGTTTATCGTCATACCCAGGACGCGGATGTAGTTTATCGTCTTACCCAGGACGCGGATGTAGTTTATCGTCATACCCAGGATATGGATATAGTTTATCGTCATACCCAGGATGTGGATGTAGTTTATCGTCTTATCCAGGACGCGGATGTAGTTTATCGTCTTGCCCAGGACGCGGATGTAGTTTATCGTCTTACCCAGGAGGCGGATGTAGTTTATCGTCATACCCAAGACGCTCTCAGAAGCTAACCAGAAATGAAAAATAGCATTACATATTGGTGTAATGCATTTCCAAACATTGCTACTACACACTTAATAAATTTTGTTCAGTGTTCGTTGGTTGCTTTTGATATGGAGGTTCTCGAGAATTTGAAGTTTTTGCTTATTATTTTCATAGTGTACTATATTGGTTTTGTCAACAATGTACTTGGGTAAGTAAAAACGGCGGGGCTTTCCTTGATGAACTTCAGCTTAACATCGATAAGTTGATTAAAGAACTAGAAAGAATTATTATAAAAATAAATAGACTTAAGATGTCTACATTACCGAATGAGACATGTATGAATAAATATATACTGGCTAAATATACGTACACACACATACACTTAACTGAGTGGCTGAGTTAACAAATAAAATCAAAGCATTTTTTACATAGTGTGACGTATTTAAACAATAACGAATTAATTATAGTTACTTTACTCTGACGAGCGGTATATCGGAGAAACTTACAAGCGGAAGATAAGTCTTCTGAACTTTAATATCTATCTATCTATCTATCTATCTATCTATCTATCTATCTATCTCAGTTTGTTCTTTTTCTATCTATCTATCTATCTATCTATCTATCTATCTATCTATCTATCTATCTATCTATCTATCTCATTCTGTTCGTATCTATCGTGTTCTGTTTTTATCTATCTATCTGCTCACGGCAATATCAGTTTGAAACGCCGGTTAAGTTAAGTAACGCCGAGCGTGGTCCGTACCTGAATGGGTGACCGCTTTAGAATATCAGGTAAGTAGTAACTTTGTATGTGTGGGTGGTTTAACGAATAACGGATCGGCATTTGAAATCAGAGAGCTGAGTTCCAATTCCAGTGGGACCCTTATGTTCATTTACACGCAAATGTCCTTGGAAAAGGTAGGGATCCCACTTTTCTCCCCCACGCTATGGGTTAATTAGTAGGACTTGTATCAGTAAATCGCTATTTTCTCGAAAAGATTCTTACGGTCTAAAAATATTTTCTGGGTTTAAATGAAAAGCACAAGGTTGATAAGCCGGGAAAAAATTCCGTCGACCAATCAATTCATTTTTTTTTTTTTGAGGGATACGGGGAGGATGATTTTTTTTTCCCGATACTTATATCTCCAAAGAAAAGAGTTTCACTTGTCGAAATTATCGTTAATCGTGCGACTGAAATGACACATTAACTGCGGATGACGGAAATTTCCGTCAGTCATACTTGGGGGGGGGGAGTGTCCGTTATTTTAGTTCAACTAAATTTTTTTTTTAATCAAGTTCATACTCAGCAAGAGATAAAGGCCATTGAAACATAAAGAATTGCTCTGTGTAGAAGAATTAAGAAAACAAATATACCAGTATGGCGCGATGACGACAGAAGAGTAATCAGGAAGACAGTAGATAACGATTGACATTGCATTTAAATTTTTGAAGATTAAAGTTGGAAAGAATGGAGCCGGAAGCGAGTTCCACAAGCGAGAAGTGCGAGAAAAGAAACTGTTAGCATAAAATTTACGGTTATTTTTTAGCCAGCTCAACTGTAAAGTTTTGTACAGTCCTTAAATTCAAAAAGTCTAGGTACCATAGCGAAGTGCGATATTTATTTGTAATTGTATAGAAAATGTGGCACAAGGCCAAAATGGGAAATGGGGAAAACGACGGTCTTGTTCTGTCTTAACATAAAACTTAGCTAGCCACAAACACTGACCCAAACATACCACAGCATTCCTTAGACCAAAACAACGCATTCTCACCTACCTTTCTTACTACATCCACTACAATACCTACCCCACTGTAATGGCCTTCACCCGGGGTGGGCTGAGCCTGCTCCAATATTGGAGTTTCATGGGAATATGGAATTCACAAGCGGTCCACAACTCACATGAGATTTGATTATAGTGGTGAAGGTTTCGTGCAGGACCATCCACACTTTTGAAGGGACGAATACAGAGACCTAGTGCAGTACGCAGGTTTTGAAATCAGTTTTCCTTCTCCTAGACCAGTTGCCATCCAAGGCTATAGAATTCAGTCTGTCCTGCTATTTACTCATAGATGGAGGGAGAAGAAGAGGATTCATACCTTTCCCAAGGGTATTAGCACGTAAGTGAATATAATGGATTCGAGTGGAATTCGAACTCGGCTCTCTGATTCCTCAATTACTCCACCGTGCCTCCTAATACGTCAATGGCTTTCCAAGCATGCCAAGGTTTAGGTAAGAAAACTTTTGCCTACGAAACTCACACAAACAAGCGGCATCTTTTCGAGCCGATGAAAAAGAGGCCGAGTCTTGTGACCAATAACGAGAGATAGACAGAGAGAGAGAGAGAGAGAGAGAGAGAGAGAGAGAGAGAAGAAAGAGACAGTGATGGAAAAGATGTAGAAAGTTCCTTTGTGTTTTTTTTTTCATACACTACGGCGAGTGATTTTTTACCAGCCTACCCCAGCAAAACTTTGATGGCACTAACAATTCAATGTGAGCTACCCAGAAATTTATAACAAAAAAAAAAAAAAAAAAGGAAAAGAAAGAAATGTACAAGCGTAGTAGGTGTATAAAATTCCCACCCCTGAAAATGTACAATTAAAGAGTCAATTTTTTTTTTTTCGATACTATGAAATATATCCTGGTTGCATTTTGCGAAACATAAAGAAGACAACTTTCTCTAGTGACGAGCAGATGAAAAAGAGGTCGAGCCTCGTTACCAGTATCCAGAAAGAGAGACTGAAAGATAGACAGAAAAGAAAAATATATATATATATATATATATATATATATATATATATATATATATATATATATATAGACCATGATTCGGCTATTGGACACCAATTCCTCGACAGCCATGTTTCTGCCACCGAT